AGCCGTAATCTAATTAATGGTATTCGTAGTTTAATTCTCATAGTAAAAATCATATCAAACTATACTAAATAAATCAAATCGCATCAAACAAATTTATATTTAATCCGATAATCGATTTAAAATTATAAGATTGAAAAACTTTACTTTACTAACCGGTCTGAGTCAAATGTATTGAAAACTAAGTGTTAGAAAAGATTATATGTAAAAGATTTCTACGACCAATATTTGTTGACACCCAAAACCTCTTCTACAAATTTTTGAAGTCCTAATAGGCAAACCTTCAATTAATTAAATTGATTTTCTTGTAATCTTTAAGATAGTTGTACATATAATATTAAATATGTCATTATTGAATATAATATCCTCCTTAATTCATCCAAGAAAACAAATCCTCCTTAATTTGCTGTACATTTATGTGTTTAGATCGCATATATGAAAATTGATTCAATCCTTTACAATAAAGGTATAATTGAAAAATTCATTTGATAAAAAGAAATTAATTTAAATTGAAAATAAAATTTGAAAAGAAAAATTAAATCAAATTGGTATCTACAGCAAATCAAATCAACGATTTTGTTAATGAGTTAAGGAGTCACTTTTTTAAAGATTCTAATTAATGGTACACTAAAAAGTTAAAAGTTTTTATATTTATTTTTAATTTTTAATATATACTTAAATTCAATTGAATAAATTAAAAATATTAATGTTAACAAAAATATATATGGTATATCAAGGAATACGATGCTAATTAATATAAAATATGTGATTTTATTATTTATGTTGGACATTTATTTATTAATACCAGTTTAGATTTTTAATTATATTTAATTTATTAATAAAGGCTTAATATAATATTATTTTTAATTCTTTTAAAATATGCAAGATATATTAAAAATTAAAAGAAAATTATAAAATTAACTATGTACTACACTGACACGAAAAGCTAGTACTTGATGATAATAATAATACAATCCTACATATATATATATATATATATATATTCTTTTAAATTATAATATTTCCTGAATTTTCTCGATTCTTATTTGATTAGCCAAATTAATTTCCTAACTTTACTCTCTCAATAAAATTAGTTCATAATTTCAAGTTTATCTCTCCTCTCTATAAATATGAATTTGCACTACCCTTCTGATCAAAATTTAAACTGCTATTACTTATTTTAATCTCTAAAAATAATGGCTTCTTCTAGGAATTCATTTAAATTGGTCATATTCATGGCTTCTCTCGTTGTATCAATGAGTCAATCAGAGCAGGCATGGCAGAATGCCCATGCAACATTTTACGGTGACTTAGCTGGAGGAGAAACCATGAGTAAGTCCTCCATCGATTATTATGATTATACATACACACACACACATATATATATATAAATGTTTTTTGTTTTTCTTTTCTGTGTATTGTTTAAGATACTTCATTATTAGATACTAATATTATATTAATATTTAGCATATGTATTGTTACGTAAAATGTTGTTGTTGTTTTTTTATTTTTGGGTAGTGGGAGCTTGTGGGTATGGTGATCTTCACAAGCAGGGATATGGACTTGAAACTGCTGCACTAAGCACGGCATTATTCAACAATGGAGCAACATGTGGAGCTTGTTTCGAGATTAAGTGCGTTAATACTCCTCAATGGTGCATACCAAATGCTGGCACTATTAAAATAACCGCTACAAATTTTTGTCCTCCCAATTACTCTAAACCTGATGGAAACTGGTGTAATCCGCCACTAAAACATTTCGATTTGTCCATGAAAATGTTCCTTACTATTGCTCGTTATAGAGCTGGGATCGTTCCTGTTCAGTATCGCCGAGTCGCATGTATTAAACACGGAGGAGTTAAGTTTGAGATTAAAGGTAATCCTTATTGGATCTTAGTTTTGGTTTACAATGTCGGAGGAGCCGGTGATGTTACTAGAGTTGAAATTAAAGGATCTAAAACTAATTGGATACCGATGTCACGTAATTGGGGCATGAATTGGCAGACAGGAGTCAAGCTTGTTGGACAAAGTCTTTCCTTTCGAGCTACCACAAGTAATGGAAAGACTTTACAATTTAACAATGTTGCGGCTTCTAATTGGCAGTTCGGTAGTACTTTCGATGGAAAGATAAATTTTTAGGGTTTTGTCGAATATTTAAATTTTACAGCTAGTTATTCAAAGAATTTGCTCTATTGTATTATTGTTCAGTTAAATGATTGCTTAATAGAATGGTTTCTTTTGCTTATAATTTTATTTTTATTATCTTATAAATATTTTATCTAGTTTCTTTCCTCATAAATTTGTAATAATCTCTTTCTTTAATTAATAAAACCATATACATAAGGTGTACAATTTACAGTGATATATATATATATATATATGCATGCGCATATATACACACATAAATGTGTTTGTAATATCTTTAATATGGTGTTTTAAAAAAGGATTTAGCAAATTTTTAATATAAGTTTAATAGCTAAATTTTGAGAAGCGAATTTCAAATTTGAATGTCTGATTTCATTTTCCAGTTTTATATGCTAACAATAAATAAATGCAATTAATAAAACTTTCCCTAGATTGATTCAGTATTGACCATGGCCATTATTACTGCCTTACTGATCAAATTTAGTCAATGGGCATAATGGAGATTACTCCGATATATATATATATAAAATATATTTACAGGTTTATCATGATGATATGACTTGGGTTTGGAAAGAAGAAAAAGTTATTATCAAAGTGATTATGTTGTATTTTCTTTATTATTCTTTACACTGTTTTTTTATTTTCAAAAATTTTATGCAATTTCTTTACATACATATTTTTGATTTAAAAAATAAATTCCCAAACCAAATTTGAGAAAATAAACTTAATTATCACAACAATATATAAATTTATAATATAAAAAAATTTTAAAAATATAAAAATTAACTTTTTGTATGTCTTTCAACTTTTACATAAATTTAAAAAAAAAATTTATACAATAAAAACAAAAGATTAGAGTAGTAATTTACTCAATTAATTTTAAATAATTTATTTATTTAATATTTTTTACAAAAATAACCCTTGAATTGACTGAATTGTCTGACGAATCTATGATCTTTCGAACTCTTATACTACTCTTCAATAAGTTTATAAAAATTTGTACTATTGAATTTGTTTACTTAAATTATTGTAATATTATTTGAAACTGATTAACCAAGCATCAGTTTTATTTTATTTTTGTGTTATTTTTCCTTTCTAGAAAAAAAAATCCTTGAAATATATATATATATGTATAAAATGAGGGCAAACAGCCAAGCCATAACGGTCGCTTAATCAATCACCTCACCATTGAGCGGGCATGTTCTCTACTATCTTAATCTAACGGTCACCAAAAAATAAATTTGAAATTAACAATCCGACGCCTCTAAACCCCAATGTGAAAACTAGCCGTTACACTGAGCGTCCACAGTATCTCAACGTTCCTTTTTCTTCTCCTCTCATTCATTACTTTCCTCAATCACATCCCCTGTGCCCAATTCTCCCCAATCTTAAACCCATTTCAAATTCTTCTTCTCTCTATCCCAAATTTATCTTCTTGCATCCCCGATCACCATCAGCCGCATTCCTTCACCTTCCTTCTCACAAAACCCTCCATCTGCAATTCTCTCCTCATAGAACCCACCTTCCCAAAGGAGAAACCCAAAAAGAAAGGATACACTCTCCTTCTTCTCCTCCCCAACAAATCACCCGATCCTCCTTCTCCCTAATACCACTCGGTGAGCCCGAATCCAGAAGCGGTTAAGTGAAAAGCGGCACCAAATCGGTCTATAGTCTGCGTAAACTCGTCAATGGAGTCGCATTCGGCAGTCAAGATTCCAAAAGCAGGGACTCCAGTCAAAGACCCACATGGGTCTCAAGGAAAGATTCAAGAAGTTACCAAATTGTCTGAGAACTCAAATCCAAATATTTCTCGTTCAAGCCCTGTCAAACCCACAAATTCACCACTAATCAAATCTGCAAAATCCCAGAAACCTGCTCATAAAAATCCCAGCGCAAACCCGAGCGTTTTCTCGCCAAGAAACAAGATCAGAGAAAGAAAGTTCGTGGTGGCCAAGAAGAATCCGAAGAAGGAGAAAGCCGGAGCGATTTCAAAGATTGATTGCAAGTGTAGAGAGCGGTTCGGCGGTAATTTGAAGAAATGCCTCTGTGTAGCTTATGAGACCTTGAGGGCATCGCAGGAGGAGTTTTTCAAGAACCGGGGTGGTGCGGAAGATGATGGGGAATTCGATTTTACAGAAGTAGAGGCTTGTGAAGGAGTAGAGAATGAGGGTAAAGAAGAGATTGAGAAGAGCCTGGGAAACGGAAATGGGCACGGATCTGATGATCAAGACCCATGTGAAATAAAAAAAACTCCAATGATTAGTTTCACAATCAAGAGGAGGAGGGAGAGATTGCTTGAAGAAGCAAGGAGTAGCGTGCCTGAATCAGGGATGGTGGCGCATTTGGTTCAGGCATTTGAGAAGCTTAAAACAATACCCAACTCCAAAGAATTGGATACGGTGGAAGAGAAGGAGACAGAAGAGAAAGACGCAGACGAGAAGAACATTTTCACAAAGAAGATACCGAAGTGGGCACTACCCGGTCTTCAACCACCTCAGGTGCCTGGCACTGAGACACAAGTCTCTTCTTGCTCTTCGTTTTGCCCATCAGATTTGTTGTTGACTGCAGAGAATCTTGGTCTAGATCCTCGTGCTTCGGTTTCTTCTTCATGGGATAGTAGCCATGGAAGGTAGGAAATTGTGGTCTTAATCTTTTCTCTATTAAACCCTCTTATATGCTTTCTCTTTCTTTGTATTTATTTATTCGGGTTCTTACTGGGTTTATATCAGTGTATCAAGCAGGACTTCTAATGGGGGCCGGAGAAGCCGAAGAAATGTAAGGCATTTTGTTCCTTCATTGTTATGCTTCAGATTATATTGACAAATTATCTCAAAGTTATGTCTTTTTCCTTCTGTTTTTCCTAATTTGTTGTAAATTATAGAGCGCTGAATCTTGTGCGACAATGGGAGGAGGGAGGAGATGGAAGAAGCAGCAGCAAAAAATTACTTGCCAAAAGCCGTTTAATCTAAGAACTGAGGTGGGTCTCTGAGCGTATAAAAACTGAGCTTTCTTTATAAATACACACTAGCCTAACGACGATCTGTACAATTTTCTCTTTTTTCTGATTTTTTTCTTCATTGTAGCAAAGGGGAAGAGCAAAGGAAGAAGAATTTACGAAGAAGATTCAGGAGCTGATGACTGAGGAGGAAAAGCTGCGTATCCCCATTGCACAAGGTCTTCCATGGACCACAGATGAACCAGAGGTGAGTCTTTCCTCCGAATGATGGATAGACATTCATGAACCTGTGATCGTTAATAGCTGGTTTTCAAAATTATTTGGCTGCTATATGAAAGAGGACAAATGTAGACAACTTCAATCAGTTTGTTGCTCAAACTCAGCGAAGAATTTGCACGTTGAAGACTTTTGTTAGATAATTGTGTTAAATGAAATTACGTTCTTGCTTTTTGTCATTTCAGTGCTTGATTAAACCTCCAGTGAAAGAGAACACAAGGCCTGTAGACTTGAAGCTCCACAGTGATGTACGGGCTGTAGAACGTGCTGAGTTTGATCATCAGGTACTTCTAGACTTTCATTTATAACCATAGGTTTGCATAAGGTTATACAAGGCTGATTAAGATATATGTTTAGTTTCAACTTTTGAAACGGGTGACAAGAGTTAAAAGGCTTTAAACCCATGGAAACTTCAGTATGCTTGTTGAAAAAGAAAACTACGTACATTTCATTCTTTAAGAGGTCTGGGAACAACTAAATACTTGATTGTGGCATTACTTATACTTTCTCTGTGATACATTCTCCACTAAGAACAACTGTATAAGTAAAGGCCTTAAACCCATGGAAACTTCAGTATGCTTGTTAAAAAGAAAGCTACGTACATTTCCTTCTTTAAGAGATCTGGGAACAACTAAATACTTGATTGTGGCATTACTTGTACTTTCTCTGTGATACATTCTCCACTAAGAACAACTGTATAAGTAAAGGAACAAGGTGACAGAGGAGGATCTGTCTGGTCCTCTTTTATTTTTGTAGTTGAATCCATTGTATTTTCTCCTACTGGTATTTTGTGGTTCTTCAACTTGTTTGTGCACAAGCTAATCAGCACAATTCTCATTACATGATCTTTAGCAACTCCTCTTTTGATATTTGGCAAGTCTCTGCTCACTGATGCTATGGTGGGCACATTGAGCTTGCAGAAAGCCTTTGCCAACAGAAATTTTATAATCAGCACAATTCTCATTACATGATCTTTAGCAACTCCTCTGTTGATATTTGGCAAGTCTCTGCTCACTGATGCTATGGTGGGCACATTGAGCTTGCAGAAAGCCTTTGCCAACAGAAATTTTATTGCAGTCTTGCTGATTTTTTTACTTGCAGTTAGTTATTTTATGTATCCAAATAAACAAAATTTCAAGTTCTTCACATGTAGATCCTCATATGTTTATGTTGATGACTGCTGCAGTCATCTGGCTTAATTAGATTGTAAACTTTTGTTCTTGGTTGTTCCATGATTGTTTGACATGTATCAATTAGCTCCTATTATTTTAATGAGAATCATATAATAGTATATAGCAATTAACTAATATATAGACACCATAATACAATCAAAATTTGAATAAAAAAGGAATTTTATTGTAGGGATACTAAAATAATAAAACAAACTAGTTAATTGAATAATTTATACAAACAAATAATTAATAGTAAGTAATACGCTTATATTATTAATAAGCCTATAGATAGTGTTCATAAATAAGTTAAACACCTCACTAATGCATAAATATTACAATCACATAAATATATTTTAGCATTGGAATATATCCACTTTAGTATTGTTTTGTTCTATATCACTTAGTATCTCTTTTTCACTTTTCAAGATGGACGCTTTCCTTTTAGGATTCTCAAGTCCTACATACTATTTGTAAGGGTCTACTGAGAATGCATTGAAACATTGCTGATCATGATGACTAGCAAAAGATACATACTGCAGTTAATATTTGAGTAGTTTGAATTATACTACCAATGGAATTTGCTGGAGTTTGTATCTTCTGGTACCAGCCAGTTTGTAGTCCTCGTCTATCAAATTGTTTTGTTCTATATCACTTAGAATCTCTTCTTCACGTTTCAAGATGGACGCTTTCTTTTTAGGGTTCTCAACTCCTGCATACTATCTGTAAAGGTCTACTGAGAATGCATTGAAACATTGCTGATCATGATGACTAGCAAAAGATACATACTGCAGTTAATATTTGAGTAGTTTGAATTATACTACCAATGGAATTTGCTGGAGTTTGTATCTTCTGGTACCAGCCAGTTTGTAGTCCTCGTCTATCAAATTGTTTTGTTCTATATCACTTAGAATCTCTTCTTCACGTTTCAAGATGGACGCTTTCTTTTTAGGGTTCTCAACTCCTGCATACTATCTGTAAAGGTATACTGAGAATGCATTGAAACATTGCTGATCATGATGACTAGCAAAAGATACATACTGCAGTTAATATTTGAGTAGTTCGAATTATACTACCAATGGAATTTGGTGGAGTTTGGATCTACTTGCACCAGCCAGTTTATAGTCCTCGTCTATCAAATTATGGCAACAACAATGGTAAACTTCTTATAATTGATGACCACAAGAATATATACTGGATACGATAACTATCTGTGCGTATTACAAGCTATATAGTACCGACTGGAATATAATGGAGTTGTATTTGAGTAATTCTTATTTGAGTATCAGTTCTTATTTGAATATTGCCAGTTTACATTTGAGTAGTTCAAATTATATACTACCAATGGAATTTGGTAGAGTTCGTATCTACTGATGCCAATCAGTTTATTGTCCTCATTTATCGAATTATGACAACAATGCTACATTTCTTATGATTGATGACTCACAAGAATACATGTTGGATACTATAACTATCTGTGCGTATTACAAGCTATAGTACCAATTGGGATACAGTGGAGTTGTATCTGTTGCCAGTAAGCTTTTTGGGGCTATGTGGAAGGGGGTTCTTCTGTACATATTGTGGTCACATTTCTTTATTGATTTGAATTGTTAGCATTTCTTGCATGTTTTTTTTTTTCTTTTTTACTTGGTAAAATTTAGGTTATAAACCATCCTTGCACAACTTGGATCAGAATGTTTAACTTTTTAATTGTTTGTTTTATCAGGTAGCTGAGAAGATGAGCTTGATTGAGCAATACAAAATGGAGAGGGAAAGACAGCAAAAGGTACGTGAGAATGAAGCCAACTTGTCCTGATTAGTAAAATTAGGTTGCTACTGTTATTGCTCAGTTAAATTACTTGAAAATCTTGTAGTTGGCTGAAGAGGAAGAAATAAGAAGGTTGAGAAAGGAGTTGGTTCCCAAAGCACAGCCCATGCCTTACTTCGACAGGCCATTTATTCCCAGAAGGTAAATTCATCTGCATAAAGCATGTGATTTGAGAAGAGACTTCTTTGGGATGTTGAACTTGACAACTAGAAAGAAGAATTTAGTAAGTGCCGTGAAAGGAAGATTGAAGTAGATTACTTAAATGAAAACAGTATATATGCTTGGAGATCTGGAAGCATTCTTCTTATTAGTTTTTATTTTGGAAGCAACATTACTAATGAGAAACCCTTTAAAGGAGGTAATGAAGTAGATTCATTACCAGAAGGTAAATTTTTCCATCTGCATACATTGTGATTTGAGATGTTGAATTTGATTATACTAGCAAAGAAAAATTTGAGTTTCTTCTTATTAGTTTTTATTTTGGAAGCAACATTACTAATGAGAAACCCTTTAAAGGGTAATGAAATAGATTCATTACCAGAAGGTAAATTTTTCCATCTGCATACATTTGGATTTGAGATGTTGAATTTGATTATACTACTAGCAAAGAACCTTGAAAGAAGATCTTAGATTACCAGAATGAAAACAAATATATGCTGGAGATCTGGAAGCATTCTTCTTATTAGTTTTTATTTTGGAAGCAACATTATTAATGAGAAACCCTTTAAAGGAGGTAATGAAGTAGATTCATTACCAGAAGGTAAATTTTTCCATCTGCATACATTGTGATTTGAGCTGTTGAATTTGATTATACTAGCAAAGAAAGTTGATTACTAAGAACTTTGAAATTTTTCCATCTGCATACATTGTGATTTGAGCTGTTGAATTTGATTATACTAGCAAAGAAAGTTGATTACTAAGAACCTTGAAAGAAGATCTTTGATTACCAGAATGAAAACAAATATATGCTGGAGATCTGGAAGCATATATTTGTTTCATTACCAGAAGGTAATGAAGTAGATTCATTACCAGAAGGTAAATTTTTCCATCTGGATGCATGTGGATTTGAGATGTTGAATTTGATTACTAGCAAAGAAAATTGATTTACTAAGAACCTTGAAAGAAGATCTTAGATTACCAGAATGAAAACATTTATATGCTGGAGATTTTGAAGCATTTATTTGTTTTTATTTTGTTTGTTTAAAGGTCAGTGAAGCATCCAACGATTCCTCGAGAGCCAAAGTTCCACATGCCAGAACACAAGAAGATCAAGTGCTGTCTATCATGGAATGATTCCTACACATGCCAACAGAACTAGACTTAGGGCAATTGCTATTTGATTTGTTGATAATTTCATTATATTGTTTTCCTTAATAATGCCTCTTTCCTCTTATGCGTTCTATGTGGTTTTCAGAAATTTTGTACATGAATGAAAGCAACAATTTAGTTGCAAATCATCTTTTTTCTGAAAGTACTACAATCATAATGCAGTTGGTGAAATATGACAGATTCCCCAACTCCAATTTCCTAAATTTTTTCAATAAACAGCGCATGTCGAAATAAGTATATTTTATTTGAAAAATAACAAAAATTTAATTATAAGTTGAAAAAAGAAATAAATATATTTTATTTGGAGGGATATTTTTTTTTTCTGTAGTTTAATATCATCAGATGTTGGAATGTTTTTTTAAAAAATAAAAAAATCTTTGTGTGTATGTTTATTTTGTCAAAAAATATAATTATTTTACAGAGAGATATAATTATTTTTTTAGGAGGCAGTCATCTCAACTTGACCGAAATCCAACTTCTATCTTGTTTGGTCTCTTGAAAAGATTTTTAGTCTTTTGCATATATGATTTATTTTTTCACTATTTTTTTTTCTTTTTCACCATATGAATGACAAGAAAATGCAATTTTGAGGGTGATCATAATAACGTGATGTAATTGAAGAAAAAGAGGGTAGCTTACGAGAGATTTTGTTTACAAAATCAATAGATAATTTTGTAAGACTATTTAAATTTCTAATTTTATAAATTGACATTAATAATATAAAATTTATTAAAATTTTTTAAAATATTAGTAATATCAATAGATCTACTATACATTTCCGAAACAATTTCATTCTCATTAATCTCAAAAATAAATATCTCGTGATTATGAAAAACCGATATCCACTTCATATTTTTTCACCTCACTTCTTTTTTCACTAATTATTACTGCAAATTTATTTCAATTTTCTTTAGAAAATTGGTCTCCTATTCTAGTGAGAATATGTGATTTATCTACAAAAACTTACCACTGTACTCCTTGGCTTGAATGGAGATCTTCTATCTTCCAATACTAATTGGTTCTATTAGTCAAAGGAGATTGGTTTATCAGTAGATTGATCATCATTAGTATGGTTGTAGTTTATATGATCTTTTTCCTAAAACATAATTTTGCAACTAAGCTTTTTATACCATGATATCTCAAAGATTGACACCTCAAGTGGGATAAAAACTTAATTGTAAAGACAATAAATAAAAAATAGCTGCGGGCAAAGAATATGGTCTGAAACAAATAGCCTCTATTGTTAATAAGAAAAATATGATACCTGATACCGTCAACAAGTAAATAACATCACAGAAATAATAATCTTGGAACTGCTCAACCAAAAAGTTCTTAAACATATAGGCTCTAGTACCAATCACATCACTCCAACTGAAACCTAAAAATTATCAAAATTCTCAGCATCACAGAAATCATTAGCTGTTCATGGAGCAACCACAATCCGCCCAGCAACTTGGTCCAGATCCCTTTGACCGCTGGATGTGATTCTCCTCCCACTGACACATCAAAATCCCATCATTAGTAGAGAGAATTACAAAGTCCTAATATCTCAAGCATCTTCTACATATTGGTAAGGATGGTCGTCCGTGCTTAGAGTTTTAGAGAAGAAACAATAGATAAATGAAAATAAAAAACATAATGTCCATGTAATAACAAAGTATAACTGTTGTTGCAATTTGAGAACTACGGAGATCTACAGAGGGTTAGCAAATTTATCCAGTGATAGCAACAGATGTAATATAATTGCCCACACAAGGGTAGATGAAAGAAAATTCACCAGATAATGGATGTTCTGACCTTTCTGGATCTCTAAGATTTTTGTACTGGAATGAACAAAACTATAAATGTAAACCCATGGAAGTTTCAACCCACTGTAGCTGTAAGATTTTTGCATTGGAAGGAACAGAACTAGATGGTATAACTAAGGTGCACATTGCAACACCAAATCACGATCAATCTCTAAGTATTTTATAGCGGGAATGATGTGATTGAACTAAAATGATTGGGACCTTAAAGCTTACCCTTTCTGGTCATGGTCAATAATATTCATATTCTGTAACTGTTGAAGAATGTTTCGAGCAACAGCACCACTGCTCTTGCAGAAATGTGGCGGACGACTTCCATTCCTCTTGCTTCCACCATAAATCCTCTGGAAAGCACCAACACCAAGACCTCCCCTTAAGTAGATCTTCCTTGCCATGGATGCTGCAATGAAGGTTCATAACCATAATATATTAGCAAGAGAGCTTGACAAGCCTATCCATATAAAAATGCATATTATAAGTAACAAATTCATTTTAGTCACATCAAGAGAGAGAAGCATTGTACCAGCTCTGACATAGTACCAATCAGGGTCATAAGGAGCAAGCTCCTTATATCTGCCTGTTTTCACAATATCAGTCCAAGAAGGAAGCTCCATCTGTTTGAAAGCAAGGAAGTAACAAATTGGTGATCAAACTAACATGATACAAATGAGTTGCCATTGTAGACAAGAGAGACACCAAGGATTATGCAAAACTGTACGACAATCCCCCCAATCAGGTTTATCCTAAATGACAAGCAAACTGTTAAATTTTTGGAAACAATAGAACTCCCTTGTCTAGTTCCCTAGGGAATTTACAGAGGATTCGCACTGGTTATCATTTACCAACAATATCAACCTTAGCAGCATATATACATAAATACTTGCAACTTCTATATGATTCAACAACTTCTATATGATTCAGCGTTCATGCCTTCAAATTCCTCAATACATATATGACATGCACAACACTGATAAACACAAACTACCAAGACACGGATAATCTGCAAATGTTCCACTTTTAAATGTGAACTAACCCATGTTGTCCTCTCTTGACCACTGTCAAAATTCAAACTTATAGTCGTGACAAGCATTTGCAAGTACTCAGTAGCAGCCTAGCATGACTTAAAAAGAATCACAACTTAGAGAAGCATAACTGTGTTTTCTTCCAACAATGCTGTTACTGATTAAGCAATCAAATATGGAAGGATGAAATAGAGGACCCCGCCGCTCACTTGGCCCAGAAAAACGACTGCCGGTCATTAACCCCACAAGAAGAAATTATACTAATGATATTTCATTTTAACAGTTTAAATCAACTGATTAGCGAAGTTACACGAACCAGATTAACTAACACAACGGCGAATAAAAACCACACATTTGCAACTACAAAGATGATACTGCCAAAACCAAATATCTAAAATTTCCTAATAAAATACCTAGCAAAAGAAACACTATAACATCCAAATTAATCCTAATCCTGAACACTTGGCCAATTTAGATCTTTTCAACATACATTCCATCTTTACATAAGAAACACGAAGCAGGATATACAATTCGTAAGCGCAAATTTTTTACATCAGTTATCGCACCAAACAAAGGGAGACCAATCAAGAATACAAGCAAGCAACAACACTGAGACAAGTTAACGTATATACCTTGCCAGATCGCTTGAGGTGAGCAGCATAAGCCTTCACGAACTCGTGAGGCGAGACGTCTTTGACGGTCCTACCAGTTGCCATTGTCAAATCAACAAGGAGCAAAGAGAAACTCTAATCTCCGGTGATTGCAAAAAACGGTACTAGCTGTTAGAGCTCTCGGTCTCTCGTATCTAGGGTTTTCTTACCTTGGAACGAGTATTTATATATATAGTAGCCCGTTAGGGTTTTTGTGTTCAGCTCGGGTCTTGATTGACCCGAATAAAGTTGGATATTGAGCTGGGCGGAGTCTTTATCGACCGGACTCAAGTTGGAGATTGGGTCTGGGAATGGGCCTATTTAAGTTGACCATTCCTTGATAGGCCTGCTTATTTATGCCCAATAGAAATTGCAAAACGGTTTAGCGGTAAAATAGCACGAAACGACATCGTTTGTCGATGGGGCCACCATGACCAAACCATACTTCCTGATCATACCCGAAATAAACCAGTTCCTCGAACCCCGATCTTTTTTCCACAGTTCCCCTTCTCCTTTAACAACTCGCGAACCCTAGATAGGAGAGAGAGTGAGAGACAGAAGGAGAACCAACTCATCAGCCATGGCGATCAAGCACCTGCTAGCTTTAGCCCGGCGGTCCCAGAAGCCATCTTCTCTCAAGGAGACTGTACGGTCTTTATCAACGGCCTCCTCTGTTGCCACATCTCCACTTCAATCTCCTCCCCCCACCACTCCTTCGCCACCCGATCCTTCTGTCATGATCTATGATCGTCTCGCTGAATCTGTTCAATCCAAGCTCAAGAAGCTAGAGAACCCCGACCCGCGATTCCTCAAGTACGGGTCGCCGCACCCAACCCTCACCTCCCACACTCATATCCTCTCCGCTCCGGAGACTCGTGTGACAACCCTTCCCAACGGCCTCCGGGTCGCTACTGAGTCCAACCTCGCGGCCAAAACCGCCACGGTCGGGGTGTGGATCGATGCTGGGTCGAGATTCGAGACCGACGAGACCAACGGCACGGCACATTTTCTCGAGCACATGATATTCAAGGGCACTGAGAGGCGGTCTGCTCGGGACCTAGAGGAGGAGATCGAAAACATGGGTGGGCACTTAAACGCCTACACTTCCAGGGAGCAGACTACGTACTACGCCAAAGTTATGGACAAAGATGTGAACAACGCTTTGGACATTTTGGCTGATATCTTGCAGAACTCAAAGTTCGAGGAGAACAGAATTAGCAGGGAGCGTGACGTGATCCTGAGGGAAATGCAGGAGGTATTTTCTGCTGTTATTGAATATTGGCATTGTTATGTGTTTATTTATGGTGATTCTTATGGTATAGTTAGGTGATGGCTATTGCAATTCAGTGAATTTCTAGTAAATTTTACTTCTTATGTTTTTTTTTTTCATCAGGGTGTTAGTGAATGGTGCTCTTTAGGTCTACGAAGTGGAAATTTTTTTAAGTTTATTTAGATGTGATATGTGAAGAATGTAAGTAATGGTGATGTATAACTGTATTATCAATATCTTTGTATTCAGTTCTTCTTTTGCTCGATCTTTTGATTCTTCTTCTGCTATGATTAAGTGAAAAATGATGAAGAACATTGTGTATTTGTGGCTAAGTTAAATTTTTTCTTTTCAACTTTATAAGTAATATCAAATGGCGCCTTTTCACCTGCATGAGTGAAATTGTTGGTTTATTTTTACTCATTGTGCAATTGACACAGATGTTTTGGTGTTTTCCCTAATTGTTGATTAGTTAGGAGTTACAAGCCTCCTTATTTTGTCAGAAACCTGAAAGAAATTTATTGTTAATTTGGTTTACCTGAAAGAAATACAGGTAGTTATGTAGCCTAATAATTTGTAATTGATCTGGTTTTTGCCAAATTTTTAACTTCTCTGTATCTGTTATTCTGGTTTATTTGATGATGAACTGGGGAAGTAATTTCCTTTTTTCTTCCTGACTTGCTGTAGGTTGAGGGACAAACTGAGGAAGTTATCTTTGATCATCTGCATGCAACTGCATTTCAATATACCCCTCTTGGCAGAACCATTCTCGGATCTGCTCAGAATGTGAGAACAATTTCCAAAGAGCATCTTCAGAACTACATACAAACACACTATGCAGCTCCCAGAATGGTATGTCTATAAATAAAATAGTGTTTTCATCTTTGTCCCCATAGGGTGAATGCTTCTAGTTACTTTCGTTTCATATTGTATATGACACTTCCTAACAAATATTGTCAATGATCCTCTTCATGGTTATTTTATTTGGGATATTCTTTCAGGTAATTGCTGCTTCTGGAGCTGTTAAGCATGAGGACCTTGTTGAGCAAGTGAAGAAATTGTTCACAAAGTTGTCAGCTGATCCAACCACTGCTTCTCAGTTGGTTCAGAAAGAACCAGCCGCATTTACTGGGTCTGAGGTGGGAAAGTGCTATTTTTGAATGCTGACCGGGGTTTTGTCTATACTGCAATCATCCATCTCTGTAATGCTATTGCAATTTATTATTTTCAGGTCAGAATAGTGGATGATGATATTCCTCTGGCTCAATTTGCTGTTGCTTTTGCTGGAGCATCTTGGACAGATCCAGACTCCATTGCTCTGATGGTCATGCAAGCAATGTTGGGTTCATGGAATAAGAATGCAGGAGGCGGAAAGCACATGGGGTGAAATTTCACTCACTGTAGCTCATATTTTTCTTACTTTCTATACCTTTTTCTTTTTTTTTTCTTTTGTGGGAATGTGCTAGTGCATTGAAGGAAGATGTGATTTACATCAATACTTACCTTTGATTCAATTGTATGCATGAATATTGACTGGGCTTGAATCTTTAAACAGTTCGGAGCTGGCACAGAGGGTTGGGATTAACGAGATAGCAGAGAGCATGATGGCTTTCAACACCAATTATAAGGATATCGGTCTTTTTGGTATTTATGCTGTTGCTAAGGTGAGTTCATTAATCAGCTCTTTTGAGAAATTGTAGTTTTATTCATAAGCAATGCCATAGAAGGTAGCACCTAACTACTGATATCAAAAATTTATTTATTATGTCTAGAAATATAAGTAGGAAATAGCAACTAAGTAGGAATAATAAACCTAATGTAATAATAAGCCTATTTACTACAGTGTTTATATAAAGGAAACTCAATGTTCTTATGTTAGTTTTACTTTCAATAAGAAATTGAAGTTAACTAAGGTACCTACATATCATCATTGAGAAAAGGTAAAAAAAAATCCATTAAGGTATTTCACTAGGGAGGGTTCTAGTGGAAGTTGAGAAGAATTGAAGCTAATGAAGGTACTTACATTTCATCATTGAGAAAAAAGGTAGAAAAATGTCCATTATGGTATTTCACTAGGGAAGGTTCAAGTGGAAGTTGAGAGGAATCATAGGTGATTAGTGATGCATTTTTCCACCAAAATAA